TTGAAGTATGCTGAATTTCCTTTGAAATAATGAATGTTCATTAAAAATTAGCATTTTTATTAAATCATTTTTAATTTCCTCCTTCCTATTTCCCTCATGGTCAGAAAGGAATTACGTCACCAGTCATCCATCTTAAATATGTTGTCAAGAAGATAATGTCATAAAAATGAAAACTATATACTGTAATATATGCAGCAAGAGAAAAACATTTCAGTTGAAGAATTTAAGAATTCTCTTAAGAATTAAGTTAAGAAATTTCTTCCAGAATTGGATCTTGGGCTCCTTTTCCCCAATATGACAAACCATCATAGCCAAGATAATTCCATAAGAAAATACCTGACTAAAACAGATTTTGAGGGAAAAAAAGCATCACGAGGGGGCTTTTCATAGCACATACTGTGCCAAAATGAGGCAGTGGCTAAACTCACAGGTGTTAAATCACCTCTTGCTTCGCCTTTTTAGTTCCAGAAATAAAACTCTAGCAGCCCATGATATTTGCTTTACTCTTAATTGATCTTATCTGATACCTACTGGCTTTCATGCTATGAACGCAGAGTCCTTCTGTCTTTAAGCCTAGCACCTAGCCACAATGCTAAACTAGCTCTCAATAAAACATGGGTACATTTACTAAAGTTTTCATAAAATGTTATTTAAGATTTATCTCCTACAAATGTTAAAAAAAATGAATGAATACAATAGTTTAATTTTTAAAATGTGTACATGGTGCTGAACAATGTGTTTACAAGACAAGGCAGAGAAACAATACCACCTGTATACCGGTCAAAGAATTGAGAAATACAAGTCATTAACTATTTTGGTATGGTGGTGGTTTCTGCAGTCCCATCCCCTGCTGCTCTGATAAAAATTGCATGGAAATAATGCACAGATAAGAAGCAACCCACATATGGTTTCCCCCCCGCCACTCTCCCCACCATCTCCACAAGGTAACACCGGTGGTGTCAGAGATGTCAAGTTTATTTCACCTCATTCTTCTGCAGTAGCCTTTCCTGCTATACAAGGGCTGGGGCAGGGGGATTTGCACGTGGATAATAGCATCCAACACAATTGGACGATACAGAGATATGGAGGTATTCCTAGTTCAGAAGAACATTTTCTCACAATTCTGTAATACCTGAAATATACAGTTCCCAACATGGGATTTTTCTGCCCCTAATGTCCCTGTGGATCATTGCCCCACTTGGCGTATTGTTTTACATTTGGTCATGACAGCCATTAGGGGATGGATCAGCCCCTCCCTTTGTGGAAGCATTCAAAATTCACAGTGTGCTCACCGAGGGGGGGGGGAATTAAGCACCCAAGGGTGTGTCTTGACCTGAAGTCTTTCACTTCCACACCAATTCTCCAACCAGGAATACTCATTCATTTATTTAATGTGTGTGGCAGCCTATCTTTGCAAGTGATGTTAATTGAATCAACCATTATCAAGATTTTAAAAGTTGTTTCCTGCTGCAATCATCTAGTTTTAAAGCTCCCAGCAGCAAACATCCCTGGCATTTCAGTTAATGTTCTCTTGAAGTAAACACAGAGACCTGTCAAAAAGACTACATATTTGCAATATTTAAGCTAATAGTCCTTCACACCATTACACAAAATGGCAAAAAAGATTAGTTAGGCATATCTGAGCAAGGAATACACACAGATGCCCTGGGCTTAGAATCCATATTCTTGCCTGGTTCATCAGCTAGCAGCCTCCAAAGGTTTGAAAGGAACTTGGAAAGATGCTTTCCCAAAGCATCTGCCGTGAGAAGAAGGAAGGAGGCCATCTACTAACCAAATGTGATGGTGCCAGGAAATACAACCAAGGGAGAACTTTCTAATCATTACTCCTTTCCAAAAGCATTCAAGGATGTCATCTCATTACCCAGGGCCTAGTGATACACCAAAGAACATCTACTATCTATTCAGAAAAGCAAATAAACACAAGAACAGAGAAACACAAGCACGATTCACAAAACTACATATATTTATTTGCTGGCATTGATTCAGATTTGTTTTCCTCTTTGCAGATTTAATGAGCCTGAAGACTGTTTTGACAATTGCTTCTCTTTGTCAATGTCTATATCCAGGAAAGTAAATTCCTGCCTTTCAGGAATAGCATTTCATCTCTCGAGAAGACTAAATAATAGCAACCAGATTCTAATTTTGTTACTTATATTACTTATATATTTAGCTTCTTGCTTTTAATTACGATTTTTTTTTTGCAATACTTAGAATCACAACACAGGTAGTTCTTGACTTACAACAGTTTATTTAGTGACTGAAGATACAACAGCACTGAAAAAAGTGACTTATGACCATTTTTCACACCTATGACCACTGCAGCATCCCCATAGTCACGGGATCAAAATTCAGACCATTAGAAACTGATTCATATTTATGAAGGTTGCAGTGTTTCGAGGTGATCACCTTTTATAACTTTCTGAGAAGCAAAGTCAACGTAGAAGCCAGATTCACTTAACAACCTTTACTAACTTAACAATTACAGTGATTCACTTAAAAACTACAGCAAGAAAGGTCATAAAATGGGACAGAATTCACTTAACTGTCTCACTTAATGAGCTCAATTATGATTGTAAATTGAAAACCATTTGTACTTTCCTGTTGCTGGAATATGCTTGAAGAAAGACACACATTTTAAGAAGAGAATAAAAACCAAATAAAGAGAACAGTCTGGAAATATGTTTGGTTGACTCACTCCCAGATGGTCAACAATTGGATCCACCTACTTGTTTATAGAGCATTTGGGTGACACTAAACTATTGACTGAAAAATATTGGATGAGAAATTAATATATTTCCCAAACAATTACCTGAACTGGCAGCTTGGCAATATTCCTTGTGTTTTCAAATACATTAAGCAACACAATTGAAATACATCAAATATGCCCAACTGTCATTTGTAACAATAAATGGAGTTTCACAGAACATTTTCTGTTTTTTAATGAGTGAAACTGTAGATAACCAGTTTCCTATACACTGATGACAATTAAATTAATCTAGTAAGGGCTTTTTTTCCCTTCATGCCATGGGTCCAGTTCTACCTCCAATTATTACAGGAGATGCAATCAAATGTGAATATCCATATCATCCTCCATTATTTTCTCTTGAGACTACAATCTACAGAGGTCAGTATTTTATTATGATACCATTCTCTCTTTGTCTTCCCCTCACTATACACACACACACACACACACACACACCTTCCATTTTTGTAACACTTAGCTGGAATTCCAAACATTCTCGTGTGTGTTTGTGTGTGTGTGATCACCAAGTAGCCCTAATATTATTTTAACACAGATTTCAAGTATTCCCTTACCTTTAGCACAGCCAATTTTGTATGGTCCAAAGAGTAATAAAAACAGTTTTTACTACTCATCTTGTCTGAATGAGAGAGAGGGCGTTTTTGAGGTTTTCTTTTTCGCTCTAATATATTTTGTGCATGCTAAAGCTCTTTGGGACTGAAGTGGATTACAAATGCTGCTGATAAATAATAATTTGCAAATGCACCCATACAGTTAAGGAATTAACATGAAATACATACTTCCAAGTTGCATGTGTATTTTTATAGCTCTAAAGATATGTCAATGGGATAATAAATATTATTAAGTGTGAGATATAATTTTAGATAAACAAAATAACTCATTAGTCTATAAAAATTATGACATGTACCTGTCACCCACCATCTAAATCTAGAAATGTGATTACAGTTGTTAACAATATAGTCATTCCCCCTTCTGCCCACTAATACTTTATTCCTTTCTTTCTCATGTTACAAAATGAAATATCTCAAGATGTAGCACCCTGTAGTTCCATTTCTGGAATTGGCTACATATAGAAATATTACTTAATAAAACATAGAGCATTAGTCCTACATTTCATAAATCTAGAAAAAAGAGATGCAACATTCTGTTTTGAACTGCACATTCCTGATCTTGTTATGTTCTGCTTCAATTATATATTGTTTTAAAATCATAACATAAAATTTACATTTCATAAGAGAACTGTTTCACATTTTTCCATTTTTTCCTATAAAGTTTGCATTTATTTTGAAAAATAGAGAAACTTCACCTCCACCCCATTCCCTCCCCAAAATGTTACACCATATGGAATATTAACTGGTGACTGTATACAGAGATTAAAAATCAAATTCTATTTTTGAAAATGTCAGAGAGACACAATAAAAATACAAATAAAATAACTTTTTATCTCAGAAATCATTTCCATTTTACAGCTAGTATTTTCCTGATATCCGTAGCATCTGGATGCTGACACATGTCCCATTGTGTCTCCAAGGCAAGGATTAATGTTGGCCAATAGGCAAGCCTGGGTTTGGGGTGGCAGGTATAATGGTATATGGGAATCACCTTGGGAGAATAAGGGACAGAACCATGACAGGGGAACAGTTGGACAAAAGACAACTTAACCCACAGCAGGTGTGTGGGCATGGCAAACATCTCAGAAGAGAACCTCCTTAGTTTCTTGGGTTGTAGAGGTGAGTACGGAGAAAATGTACTTTCAGACTTACAAAATTATGTTGACAATGCAATAAAGTATAATTAGTTCATATGAGTGTGCTTCATGTCTAGACCACCACACAAGTCTTGACAGCATATCAAAGAACCCAAAAAAGAGGGAGGAGGGTCTGAGCCTTTTGGAAGTAAGCAGTTTCAGGAGTTTGAGGGAATTAAATGTGTGCTGTTTGTCAGATATAAACACCCGTTTGCCCTTTATCCTTCTGACAACCCACAAAGACAAGCAGGGCCTAACTTTTGGCTCTACCCAATTATGGGACAAGGGAGAAGACCACAAAGGAGTGTTGATAAGCGGCATGATACCACCGACTCAAATCAGAATAGGTGATTCTTCATGGAACTTCAGCTAGAAGTCCTAACGCCAACAAATAAAACACCACTGACAATGAGGAGGTCAGATAATTCAAAGCAAATTTTAATTTATACATTAAATCAAGTTATTACATACCCCTGCAGCAAAGCCTAGACTCCCATCCAGGATTCGTCTCTGCAAATGTAAGATTACAAGTGGTCAGAAGTGACACCGTATACAACGGCAATATACTACTTTCACATTTGACGTTGAATCATAGTTTATTTAAATGTTAATTTGCTGGCTTCATGCAACATGCTAAGCTGTAAAACATAACCTGCAGACAACAGCTGCACTGAAAAGTACCAAAAAAGCACCCCCAAAAAATCTATCGCTTACCATAATAGGCAAAACAGACTAAGTTTATATTAATTTCGTGTAAAACTAAGATAATACGGAGTTAAAAAATCTAATTCCTATTTAATAAAAGACATCAAATTTCAATGTTTGCCATTATTCTCCATTTTGATATGCTCTGCAATTCTTAAAATATTCAGCTAGTATCACGTGCTGGTTGGGAATGCTGAGAGCTGTAATAGCAGCATATCTGAAGGGCAAGAAACCAGGAAAATTGGTATAAACACATACTGGTTAATTCTTCTGTCCACCAAAATTCAGGCTAACAAAAGAAGCACAAAAAGGGGAATTTCTGCTTCAATTTTAGCATACCACTTTCACTGGTTAGGAACCTAGCAAAAAAACCCCGCAAATTCCAGAAACTTTTCAAGAGTGGCCCCAGATATCAGGACGTAGGTTAATGGTAATCACAATAGCTATGTATGTACACCTTTAAAATAAAATGTAATTGCTACAATTAAGTGTGGTTTTGGATATCATAAATGTGAAAATTTCAAAGGGTTGTAGAAGGATCTCTTCTACTATAACCCAGGTAATAGTAAATCTTTCAAATTTATGACATTGAAAGACCCATTTATCTGCTGTAGCAATTTGGTTTACTCTTGGAAAAATGCAAAAGCTAGAGGCAAGCATTTCTAGCCAATCTCAGTTAAATGTTTGCAGAGTATTAATTAAAGATATAAAATTTTAATACCAAGCTCATTTCTTTTTCCAGCTCTATCATATAACTCCCACATGCCATAATTAGTATTTATGGTTATTATCAGATCCATACTTACAATCCACACTCACAATTTTATCATGTCTAATGCTGAAAATGCATTTTTCATCCTCTAATTTTGAAATTTGCACCAAAGAAATTCAGGCCTCACCTGCCCACTGGAAAAGATAAAGACAAGTGCTGAGCCAGCAGCCGTCAATCCCCAAGTCAGTAAGGTTCCTAACAGTGCTTGCAACACTGGATTGTAACCAAGTATCATAATGAGGAATTCTGGGTTTGAAGATCTGGTAAACATGAAAGGAAAATTAGGTAGAAAACTTAAAATCTGAGCCAATCAAATTAATTATTGTTTCAGAAATACATTTTATTTGCTTATTAGTCTACAGCTAGAAAGTTATCTGATTTGTGTCTCCTCAAGTGTTTGCCTGAAATTGACAAAATGCTACCTATGATCACCATCTGTATAATGTGCCTGTTCATTCATATATTAGATATTTATAATTAAATGTAACTGACATTAGAGAAAACCACTATCCCTCAGAATCATCCTTGTTTAAAATATGGCTCTGGGCCCACTTTGGATTTAAAGACACTTTTAGAAAATAAAAAAAGAAGCAGAATCATTCTAATAGAAGTGTGTCTGCCGGGTGGGTGGAGGGGGGGAACCAAAACTCCCAGGTGAACTGAAGTTGGTGGGGAAGGGAACCAACATTATGTTTGTCTTCTGGTCGATTTCTATTTTATGATTGGCCACACCCTCCATTAGGAATCATTTAGTGAAAAGAGCAACAGGAACAGCAATAGCACTTAGACTTGTATACTGCTTCATAATGCTTTTACTCTCTAAGCGGCTTACAGAGTCAGCATATTGCCCCCAATAATCTGGGTCCTCATTTTACCGATCTTGGAAGGCTGAGTCAACCTTGAGCTAGTCAGAATCGAACTGCCAGCAGTTGGCAGTCAGCAGAATTTGCTTGCAATACTGCATCCCAACCACTGCATTACCACGGCTCTTTAAGAGGTCTCTCATGGCAGCCATTTGAAGAAAGCAGTAACCACATGCCTTCAAACTTTCAAATATTCCCACCCCAAAAGAGTATCCATTCTTGTAATGGAAGATAACAAGCAATACAGGAGATATTATAAGGAGTAAGATACTTTAGCTATAAATCCATTTGAGGAGGGCCCTTGGACAATTTCTCTCAATTCCTCATACAATTGGAATGTGGTTGTGATCCTAAGCACGTGAGTACTTCATGAACCAAGATTTACTTCTAGCTGAATTTACTTCTACTGAATTACAGTAAACCAACATCTCTTTTAATAATGATTTAATAAGCAAACATAGGTGCCTGGTTCATATTATGCCACAAATCACTGTTTGCAAGGCACATCAGGTAAGTTCCTAATCTTTGGGTTGTGTTCCTGACTTGCATTAATTGAGGCGAGTGGCTGAGTTGAAAGAAAATATATTTTGCCTTTCAAGTGAAGCATTATTCTCCTCAAGGAAGTTATTGCACAAGGCAAGTTAATGGAAAGGGAGAAAAAACAATCATAGAACATTCTCCTACCGTCGATTTCTGCTGGAAAAGGTTCTTAGATTGAGAACTTGCAACCCTGGGAAAGGGGGCGGGGAGGCACAACTCCAGGTTGTTGCAACTTAATCAGTCTATATGAAGCTCCATAATAATCTTATCGTCGCCAATTTAACCTTTGCAAACAATTAAAAGTTCCTCTATTTTAACCACACTGGATCAAATCCTTCTGTATGGGCCATTTTCATTCAAACCAAAGCTTTGATAGCCCACCCAAAACGTGGAAGGCATCAAAATGAATGAGTAGGTCGGTTTGCCATACCGTAAAATATATATTTAAGAAAACAGCTAATTTCGGTCCTTTTTTAAAATAATCAATCCGTAAAAAATTCTAAGATATAAAATTGACAAGTAAAAATGGTTAGATTGTTTTTTTCCTCCCAGTACTAGCCCGGTTTGTTTGGTTTTTTAAGATAAAAGATGCCGCAAGAATTTTGCCTGCAATGTATTCTCCTGGATTTTTTAAAAATTAATAACACATTCTATTTAAAAATAATAATTCACTACATACACTCAATAAGATTACCCAGACGTTGCAAACTACAGCTAATGTTCCAATTCCGGCAGTCACTTCCTGGTTCCTTTGTACACGTGTCTCTCAAGCCGACGTGGCTCCACCTACTATTCTGCTTCAGCCATTGGCAAAGCAGCCTGGACTAAGCAGGCTAGATTCTGCGGTACGCACCTATTGGTTTTTGTAAAAAGTGAAGCGAGTGGCTTAAAAAGAGAATTTGTTTAGATACGTGCACTCGTGCGTTATCAATAGAATGATTACGGTTTCCGACTCCCGTGGACTATCCGAAAGTACCAATATAAACAAACAAAAATCATAGTTGACAGACTTTTAAAACACTACTTGTTTTTACATCACAAGAGCAGGAATGACCAAGAATGAGTCAAGTATTTTGGTTATTTTCATTTAGCCTAGACTAGAGTCTCTTTGGCACTGTCGCCCAGTTATTGCTACTTTTTTCAGTCTTCAGACACGTTTTCCCATTGATTAATCTTGAAATATCCTCACTCTCAATATCTACACAGTAGAAGTAAGGTGTACAAGAACAGAATAGAATAACAGTTGGCAGGGATCCCCTGAGACCCTATAGCATTTCAGACAAGTTCTTAAAAGTCCAAGTCCAGCCTGTTCTTAAAAGCCTCCAGTGATGGAGCATTTCTGAAGGCAAGCCGTTCTACTGGTTAATTGTTCTGTCAGGAAATTTCTCCTTAGTGTCTTGTCTCCCCTATCCTGCAACCCAGGCCAAAATAACCATAAATTACTACCGGTGAAGAGATGGTCCTGCAGCAGGCCACAGAAGAATGTGACAATGAACTCTAAGCCACAAAGCTGTTTCCAAATAAACTATATAAACTATTCGTTTGTATTGAGTATCTCTGTGCTAAACTGTTTTTGAAAGCTGAAAGAATATGAGAGGGCAGCTTTTCCTAAATCTCTGTTGATTCCTCTGCTTCCACAATCCCCCCCCCCCCAAAAAAACGACCAAGTTCTTGATGTCTAGGAAACATTTCATAACTGTTGTCACATTCAGAGATTGCAGTGGAAACTTAAATCATTTGTTTAAAATAGAGGCAGTCCATTCACCTCCAATCAGCAGTGAGCTTTTGAAGCTAAGTTCTAAGAATGTTCATCTGGAAATAAGTCCAACTAAATTCAGTGAGATTTTCACTCATAACTATATTTAAAGAGTTAGTTTCTCCAACAGAAAAAAAACAACAAAATGTGGGGACAGTGCACACAAGTGTAGACTATTCGTGCAGCTGAGACATAAGCAGAGACCTTCCTTTTAAGAGGTCTCATCTGCTGGAGGAGTTATTTATTTGTTTGTGTCTGTGTGTGCACACCATCAAATAAGTGTTGACTCTTGGTGATGGCCTGGACAAATTTTTGCAGTTTCCTTGTCAAGGTTTTTCAGAAGTGGTTTGCTCTAGTCTGTTCAAGGCCACAAAGTTAGCTTGTGCCAAAGGTGACACTAGAACTCACAATCTTCAGGATTTCTAGCCTGGTGCTTTACCGGTATATGAAACTTGCTCTATGGATTATTCAAAATGCATTTTGCAACATGCAGCTGACATTGTGGGAGTGGGGGGTGGATTTTTCTATGGGTCTGGCCATTTTTGCAAAATGGATGCATTTCACAAAGGACAAAGCAATCAAGGCTGAGATCAACCATTCCTAACCTGACAGAACTGAGCGTTCAACTCTGGGACTTCCCAGTCACCATGTTAATTAGGAATACTTGTAGTCTTTTCCCACCTGTAACCAGCCTGGATGTGTATGTTTGTAATGTTCGAACATTCATGGGTTGTCACTTAGTAAAAACAGATGCTATTGATTAGCCATTTGCTGATAATTAAGGAGAAAACAAGATCCAGGTCTGGGTGGCCAATTGGTCCCAAAGGTTAACAGCACTGTTTGATAATTGGATGTTTGCTGCACTTATACCATTCTTGCTCTGACTCACATGATCTGGTTGTTAGCTCCGACCTAAACTAGCTTTGCCTCAATTAACAGCCATTCAGATCTGCTGCATCCCTGGTGTTCCAGGATGAGAATTAAAGAGAAAATTGAAGTGTCAATAGTACTGGAGGAAATACATGCTGCTAATCTACACAGAGATCTTATAGACACCGCTATTCACAGCTGGCTGTTTCTTCTTGATGGATTAATTTGAAGAAGAAGAAGAAAGGGAGCAGGGACTTTAAAAGCAAAAGCAAACGTATTGAGTATAAGGCAATGTCTTTGTTAAGTGGCTGCAAAATTCATCTGAAAGCTTGCCATTTTCTCCCTTAACCATGGACCGGAGAAGAGCAGATGGCAGATGATTCCCCAGGCTTCAGCCATTTACTACTGAAAACATGTTCTCTCTTTTCCATGCAGTTCCTTAGCCCCAGGTGCTTAGACAGTTGTCTTAAACTTAATTCAAAGCTGTTTGAAAAACGGTATGCTACAAATCCAAATTAAATTCTCTCCTCGATGAACGAGCAACAAGAAATTGAATCCTGTGACCTGATTTGCAATTTTATTGCACTCAAATTTGTACTAAGGGGGGAAAAGTTCTTGACAGTAAAACAAATGAGGTTCTTACAAAAATGTAAATAACAAAAGCTGTTACTCATTGCTAATATTGATATGTACATTGTAAAAATTGACTGATCCTCCCGCTTGGTACTCTTTGTTTTTTCCAGGAGGCTCAAGCTGTCTGATACGGCTTTAGATCTCCACAATTTCTTTAGGCAGGGCCAGAGAGTTATTATTCTTGAGTCACTGCCAAGGCCCGTAGCCTGCTGTTGTTTGTTGTTGCAGTTGAAGCTTGTTTTCCTGCCTGCTTTCAAACCAGTAATAGTGAAAGGGAAGCAGAGTCTCTATGCCCATCCTTTCTTCCATGAAGTTCCTGCAGACTGGGCCAGAATGAAACAGAAGCAGATGTTGTGGCAAAGAGGTAGTCCTTTCATGGAAAGATGGTGATTTTGAGAAGATCTTTCTCAAGTTGTCCCCTGAACCTGGAAACAGTACTAACCAAAAGAATTTTAAATATTAATTGGAGACTAAGGAGCAAAGATAGTTTGTCATTCTGTGATGGTGTTCACCAAACTAATGTGACAGGTAAAATTGTAAGTTCTACTTAAAGTTCTGAGCTTGACATGCTGGACAAGGAACCAACCATTAACGCTTCAGAGACTAATTGCTAAGATGAGGTAAATATTGACGAAAACGGCACACAACCCCTTTTAATTCTGCTCTGAGAAGATGGCCTTATTGACTTTTTAGCCTTGTGTCGCCCTTGATATTTGAAGGCAAAAATTCCTTTGGAAGGCATGGGGCAGTCATAGCTCCTCTGTGCAGTTCCTTGGGTCGTGTTTTACCCCAACCAATACTTAAACTGAAAGGCTCCCAGTCAGTGATTCAAGGACATTGCTCTGATAAAATATTTTGATTGCAGGTACTTGCTAAGGAAGAAAAACAGATACTGCAAATTCTAGGGTTCAAGTCTTCATGTAGCAGTTCCCACGATTCAAATATGGTACTTTTTCCTGCCTTTACTAAACAGGCCTAATAACTGTTGATTTCTCAGTAAGAAATAGTTGGTCTCTCTGCATTCTTTTTTTTTTTTTGAAAATTTTATTTGGGTTTTCACAAAAACAAAATACAAATAAAACAACTTTTTTTGAAAATAGCATGGTCCCAGGTTATCACTTCTTCATACAGACACAAAACTCAACTTCATGCTCATTTTTATATTCTATTCCATATCTTATTACCGTTTTATATTTTCTACATAGTTTTTCCCCTCTTTTAATTTTTTCAACTTTATTTTAATTATCTCATCTCAATTCCAATCATTATATTTGTACTTTTGTCTGTCCTGTTTCAGTTTCATATTATCTTTTCTTATTAAACATTTTTTTCCCTGTAGTTACCGATTGGAGTATGACACCTTTATATCTTTTAATTTTATCCATTCAAACTCTTATTTAAGCTTCAATGTATACCTTTAAGATTATAACATTCAATATAATACATAACTTCCAATCGAATTCTGCTTGGTACATTCTTAAAATACACACTATATTCTTAAAAAGAAAAAATTATATATATATATATAAATAAAACACACATTCCATTCCAGTTCAATTCTATCATTAATATTCATTAAAATCTTAACTTTTTTAACATTTTTTTCCAATTAAATATCATACTTCCTTGGAAACACTTATAAACTTTCCATAGTTAATTCTTTTTTTCCCATATTTTTCACTTATATTTTTATAAATCATTACTAATAATTAAAATGTTCCCATTTAATTCTTGGAATCACTTTAATTCATTTATTTATTAACAAACATTCCACTACATTACAGTAAATATTTTATTCCTCCTTTTAGTCATATTTTCTAAAATTATTTCTGTTTGTAATATAACAATGCTATCTTATTTACCTTTGCAGAATTCCTTTTACAATTAAATTTTCACCCATTATCTCTAAACAAGCTTATGGTTACAATCCTTGTATCTTTTCCCTGTTTCTACATTTCTTGTTTCTGTCTTTTACAACTTCTTTTCCTTGCCTTCTTCCCCCTCTTCTTCTCCCTCCCCTTTTTACCCCCTCGTCTTTCTACTTCTAACTCTCTCATCTGTAATCCCCTCTTCTGTTGCTTTCTAATATTATACTTATCTTTCAAATTGTTCTTTCTCTTTTTGGTTGTTTTTTCTAGTCTTAAACCTTTCACTCTCTTTCCCCCCTTTTCTTTTTTCCCCTCACTTAAAATTATTTGATCATTAAAGATGGCTTCTTCTTTGTCCCAATCTTCTTGTTCTGCAAGCGTTTCTTGTTGTTTCTCATAGTTCCAGATCTCCATTTCTAAGAATTGAAATACAAAGCCAAAAGAACCTCTCCCTTCTTGTGCATCTTCTTTCCATTTTTAAAGTTCCATTTTCAGTTCTTCTAAGAGAGATACCATTTTAAAGACTTTTAAACAACCACCCGGTTAATTTTAGTCATCTATATGCAAAAACCAAAAATCACCAAGTAATCCAAATAATTCAAGGCTGTTTCTTCTTGCTTCTTTTTTCCACTTTCTCTTCC